TATATATATATATATATATATATATATATATATATATATATATATATATACTCCTTGCAGTCCACACACAGATGGGAAGCTGTGATTTAAGAGTTCTCCAGAGAGCCAGTTAGGCGCCTGTGTTTCTGTTCCACAGTAAGTTTGCCCTCTAATCCCCATGGGCCTGTCTTTCCCCCACTCCCGAGTCACTGAGTGTCTGGCGTTGACATGATTTCCCAGCTCTCATGGGTCAGTATAAAAGGACACATCAACTTACAGCCTCAGGGGGCTCCACTCTGTGATCAGACCTGTCAGTCACAAAGAACACAGAAATGTTAGGTTCATGGGAACAGTACTACTCATGTTTAGAGTTCAAGTCTTGTCTCTGTTGGTTTGGAATGAGTCATCTGTAGCCAGGAGCTACTGAGCAGAACAGACATGTGACAAAGAACACAGAAGCCACAATTCCTGAGTCCCTGTAACGATTCAAATATCTGCCCAGAGCCCATCATATCTCTGTGTTTCCCAGGGTCTTTAATTCTCTGAGGTCTGTGCAGTTGCACCTCGTAGTACCTTGTGAGTTTGATGTCTGGTACCAGTTTGGTTTTTGAAATCTTGCTGTTATGGCTGACGATTAATTGCTGAAATGACACAAGGGAACATGAGTGAGACATGGGTGCATGGCCTTTCCCTCCTCTGTGGGGACACCAAGGCAAAATGGGCCTCAGGGTTTTGGGGAGCGTTCCCTCCATGTCCAAGTCCATGGCCTTCTTTCGACTCACGAACCCTCATTTCTCAGCACTCACCGTTTTCCCAGTGGCAAAGTCCTCGCCATTCTTTGTTATTTTAACCTCATAAAAGACTCTGAGGAGTTTGTCTTTCTGGAAGGTATAGGCTATTTTGGTGATGTTGGCTTCCAGGTCATTCGTCTGTTGAGAAGAAGACTTCAGTTAGTTTGGGGAAGAGGATGGAGGTGCTGTATCATGAGCCAGCATGTGCTCTTCAGTCTTGGCTGAGATACTGAGTTTGGTCCTCTAGACCTGGTCACCCGGCTGGATGCTGGTGCAACTGAGAAGAAGGAATGACAGGGACATCATTCCTCTGTTTACTTGCCTCTGTTTACTTCAGTGGATGGATGTTGAGGCGGAACCCTTGTGAAATGTTGCTTTCTATCAAGTCTTTCAAAGTAGCAGTGCTCTTCTCTACCCTTGTGTCCTGGAAGCTCTCTGCTGAAGGCTTATGGACTGTGTGGTGAAGATTCCTGTATGTGGTTTCACCTGACCATAGTTTATACAGCTATGAGCTCCTCTTACTGCGGTGACTTCCTTTCATCTTAAAGGGGTGGGGGTCATATTAAAGTACCCCTGTGTAGGTCAGCCTGGTGCCCTTGCTGCTACTGTGACTTGGTCTGTCTCTGAGTCTTAGGGTATCAGAAAAATGAAGAAGAGTGTTTACATTGAGTTGTATTATGATAATTACTTGTCATTGATCATTTAAGGACATGTGACTTTTTGTGTAGGCATGTGGATGAAATACTTACATTGTTATCCCATACCCCCTTGCCTGATCCTGATACCTTACTGATAACATCAACGGCCCTTTTAGTACACTAAGGATGATGTGTGTCCTGTGGCATTGGTCTTACCCATTTCTACAAGAGCTTCCAGATCTATGCCAGTCAGTGATGGAAAATGCCTTTAATCCTAGCACTTTGGAGGCAGAGATAGATGGATTTCTGTTAGTTTGAGTCCAGCCTGGTCTACAGAGCGAGTTCCAGTATAGCCAGGGCTACACAAAGAAACTGTTTTCAAACCCCCACTTCCCCCAAACCCTTCAGATCTCATTTACATGTCTACTTTCTCCCTCAGAAGTGACAGCCTCAGCTCATGTCCAGATTGGTGCAGACGTGGGGTGATGAAGGACACTCACCTTGACAGAGCTCTGCTTGGCCACATAAACTAGAAGTGTCTTCAGCATTGAGGTGGACATAGTTACAGAAATGGTGGCGTTTCTGGGATCTGGAGGCAGTCGACTTCCAGGCACGGGCACTGTTCTTTTGCCAATGTTGGCCTCAACCTACGGAGAGGAAATTAGAGAACTGGCTGTGTGAGTTCAGGAGACTAGAAGGAGAGGGAAGCTGTGACTTGGCTCTGACAGGGCAGGGTGCAGAGGCCTTTGCTCCAGTGGCCGGGGAGCAGGGCTCAGGGAGGTTGGGCTTTCCTGAGAGGCCATGAATCCTCACCTGAGGGCAAGTCACCCTTTCATGATAGACTTCACGATGACGTGTGTGTTTACTAGTTACTTCCTGTCCTTGTCACAGTCTACATACCTGAGGGCTAGTCTCCCTCCATGTCTCCCTCCATGTCTCTCTCCTTCCTTTCTTCCCTCCCTCCCGTGTATCATAAATCATAATGTGGCAGAATAAGTCCTTAGATTAAGTCCATTCTTGAGTATTTTCTCTGTCTGTCTGTTTCATTCCCTTTTTATAAATGCATTCTCCCCTCATATTTCTGAGCTATATACTCTCTTTCTGGAAGGGATATTGAACCATTCAGAGATGAACATAGAGAAGAGAGGATTTTGCCTAACATCATTGTCCTGTGCATATGTTCGTTAGTTTTTTTTGTTTTGACTTTAGAGTGATTCATACTATCTGTTTATATTAGTTATATTCATAAATCATGGCTCTGTTTCCACATGTGACCTGTATAGAAGAATCTGACCCTCAGGTTGGCTATGTCCTTTGTGTGTGTTGTAGGTCATTGATGAACGTCCTCCTGAATGTGCATGGATTTGTGTTTCAGCATCTGAGAGCAGTTTTGTTTATGGATTTGCAAAAGAGAAGCTGAGCCAACTCTGTCTCCTTTCTTTACCACTTGCCATGCTCTGTTTTTGCCTTCCTGGTTGGGTAGGAGGTGTTTGGAAGGAGCTGGCCCTTTTTGTTTTGTTGTGTATAATCCCCTGAGAGTGGAGACCTGAGCTGGGCGATGTTTTGGTTTTCTCTGTTGGGGTTCTCACAGGCCATGTGCTGTGTGTTTGAATTGGGAAGAACGCTAGCCTGCCCATGCCCTGATGAGTACTCTGGAGACCGATCCCAGGAAAGCATGGGGGTGAGAAAAGAGCCGGTCACTATTTTACTGTCCTGACTTTTTGATCTCTTTTGTGGGCTCAGGTAGACTTTCAGCCTTCATCCAGTTATTGCAATGACAGCAAATACTTACACAGTAGAGGATGGAAAGTCCTTTGGGAGACAACCTGGCACTTTGAGTCTGGTACTTGAATAAGCCGGTAGCTGCGGAGGAGAGGAGAGGGAGGAATGGAGAGAGTTCAGACGGCCGTTGACAGCTGTTGTGCCTCAAATGCATCTCTGGTCTCCCTCATAGATGGACATTTGATTCTGTCTGCCTTCCATGCACAAGGTGCTCTCTTGGATGCCTTCTACATCCCCAAGGATGCTATGAGCTTGTGGTTTACCCACTTGGATTCAGATTTTTTTTAACCTGATGTGTCAAAATGTTCTTGGAGAAGGAAATACTGGCTATCTAGACCATGTAGTTTGTCTACCCTGCGCCTTGAGAAATAAGCTAATTTTCCTACTTCATCTCTCTGTGTGGCTCAACCAAACATGTCCTCCCACCTTGGCTGTTGGCATGTTTATAGGGATATTGTGTGATTTCCTGATCTCAGGACCCCATAGATGAGGACCTGGGACTGCTCCTGATTCAAACTCTTTGCAGTACTGCTTTGAAAACGGTTTGGGTTGGGAACTCTGTGAAGATGCCCCAGAGGCACTGTGTCCTTTCTCTTCCATGTGTCAGAAGTCAAGTGCCTTCAGAGAAAGGTCTGCTGGGCCATTCTCCTTCCTAAGTGTGCTGAGGCGGTTGTGTGAGTCCTTGTAGTTTTGCAGTCTGTTACCCTGGAGCCCATCCTCTGTAGTATGCCACCCTGTGACATCCCCCAAGGTCCCTGGGGCACCTCAGTGTACTGGCGATATACCACCAAGGAAGTACTCACTGTTCTTGCACTCATTAAAGTTCGTGAGAACGATGGCACAGGAGTTGGAATTCTCCAGCTGTGAAGTCAGCACAGGTTAGCTTAGCTGAGGGAGCACCAGTCGCCTGTCTTATCATCCTACCTTCTCTGCATCTCCCCTTGGCTTCCCACTTTCCCGTGTCCTTTCCCTGACCTCTGTTGGACAGAAGTTATCCGCTATTCTCAGATCTTGTGTCCTTTAGTTCTGCTGCTTGGTAATGTAGTGATATTTTATTTGTGTTAATAAGTAAAGCTTGTCTGGAGATCAGAGTGTGAAACTGCTTCCCTAGTCAGCCTTAAAGACCAGGCAGTGGTGACACACACCTCTATTCCCAGTAGTCACACTAATTGCCATAAAAACCAGGCAGTAGTGTGCACACCTTTAATGCCAGCACTAGAGAGGAATATGAAACAGGAGGAGACAGCTCTCAGATCAGCCTCATTCTGAGATTCCTGGAGGCAGGATCTCCATTGCAGACTGATGTAGAGGTTAAGAGCCAGTTACTAGCTGCTTTGCTTTTTCTAGTGTTCATGTTGAACCTCAATATCTATCTCTGGGTTTTTATTAATTATGCTACTGGTTTATGGTCCAGAGGAGCTGCTTGTCCATGGTGGCTCTTGTGCTCCAGAGGTCCCTGGCACTGTTCCTCAATCTGTCCTAGCAGCTGGGCATTTACAAAGCTGCAAGTTTCTCTCCTACTTCCCAGGGATCAGGTCTGTGCAGGAGCCCCACCCCTTCCCTGGACTTACATTCTCATTCATTTCTACTGTCAGCAGTACCGGGACGATGTCATTCAAGGGCAGAGGCAGGGGGAGAGGCACAGTTCCTGTGACTCTGAAAGATATAACGCTGAGATCAGTGATCTTCATGTTTCTGGGCTTGTCCGTGTCTTAGACAAATCGACTCACTGATGAAGGCATCAGATGATGTCCGGCTTCTAAATGAGCGTGTGAGTCCTGAACTCTCGTCTTGGTCTTTAGTGTTTAAGGAGAATGCAAAGATACCTGGGCAAGTCACAGGACACCTGGCCCAGAGGTCCCCTTGGATAGAGTCACCCTTCAGACACTGGAGCACATTTGTCCACAGACCTTTCTGTTGTCTTGGTATAGCTGTAGATCTGAGTTCACAGCTTTCTGTGTTCTAGTTAGAGAAACTATAATGACTCCTGCCTAGGTCATAGCAGAGGGAAGGAAGGAATGTCAACGCTGGGTATGGGCAGGTGAGAAGCATTTCTATTCTTCTAGTGTGAGCCTAGTGAGAAGGGCCTGACCCTCTATCTGTTCCAGGAGAGGAGCCATAGGCAGCTGGCCCCCAGAAGTGGTAGAGAGATTTTTACTGTGTGGCCTCGAGGTTCTTTTTTCCTCTTTGACTCAGGTCCGTGTACTGTTTAGGAAAAATATAGGATGAGTCACTTAAATAGAGCCAGCAGGAAAGACATAAGGTAGATGTGAGAAGGCTGTTCTTAGCTACAGAGGAACGCTGGTCGTCAGCTCTCCTGGCATTTCCTGACTGTCTAGTGTACTATGGTGGACCAATCTCCTCTGAGACAGCAGCTGGGCCCCTCTGGCACCCTTCTGCATTGATCGAGTAGAAAGAAAGTGGGTTTTACGTACGTCTCTATTAACTGAATGTTCACTTCGTTGACCTGGAAATGGGTGTCCTGGATGTCAAGGTTGACGCACTGGGTGTTGTTGGAGGAAATAACAGCTTTCATCGTCACATCCATTGCAGACTGAAACTTCAGTAAGCTGATGACAGATCCAAGTGCTCTGTGGAGAATGACATTCTGCCTGAGAGGTGAGGCTCCAGCAGAGGGACGGGCATTTGGGAATCAGCCTCACGCTTTGGGGAAGGTTGTCGTCTAGATGGGAGGACTGTGTTCCAGTCCACGTGCTCCTAGGTCCTCAAACCCATGCAGAGAAGGAAGAGGTGGCCATTTTCGGTAGTTAGTTAACATTTGACTAATAATTGCCTTTGTAGCCTTGAGGAGGTTACTTGTTGTGGGTGGCAGAACCTACGAGTCTCGTACTTATGTCTTCTAGTTGTGTGGAAATGCATAAGAAAAGCCCAGCAGGAGACAGCTTGTGCTTAACATAGGAAGGTCTGGACTGATCCAGCTTTTTCTGTCTATGTGTCCCTGTCATCTGGTTAGAATAGGGACCTCATATCCTAATCCTTGGTGACCCGGCAATCATTTTGGGAACAGGCTCACCCTTTTCCACCTATGTTGGCAGTGACTGCCGAGTGGACTTGGATCTCATCCGCTGCCATGGTTATGTCTATGCTGTCCACGGTGACTTCATCAACCTTTAAGCTGCAGAACAACAACACAGACTCAGTTCTCTGCCTGGAAACAGCCTGGCCCTCATGAGAAATTCCGTGCGGCCGCCAGTTCCGCACCAGCTGAGCTCTGCCAGTCCTCTGGCTGCCGAGCTCCCCTTCCCACCCAGTGGTTTAAGGTCAAGACATCCTGGTCACATCTTGCAGCTATTCCAGCGGGAATAAGTATGTCTCTCTATGAAAGGGCGGCTTTCCCCGCGGTTGCTGTAGGGTGAGTGTCAGCGTTCCCAGTGAGCAGCTGTTTGTCCAGAAACCCAGAGAACTGTGAAGGAAGCACTTACTCGAGCAGAAGGTCTTGGACCTTGACCTTGAGCAGATCTGAAAGTGGGTCTTTGACGCTTTCTGGGAGTATTTCATTCACCTTGGCCTCTACAGAGTCTTTCAGGTTGTCTACGTTTCCAATCATGTCATCCAAAGGCTTCTTGATATCGGAGAGCACGTCTCCATTCAGAAGTCCTTTCCCAGGGCCCTTGTCTCCACCGAGGCTTAGTAAGCTGCCCAGGCCACCACTGCCCCCTGGGAGGAGCTGGCTGAGACCTCCAGCGGCCTTGGACCCTGAAGAGGGCTTTGAGGGATCCTCATTCCCTGCTTTGCCTAGAATACCATCTAGGCCGAGACCGCCTGCCCCTTGTAGGAGGGAGGTGGGATCTAAGAGCGAGAGCAGGTCAGCATTGTCCACGGTGGCTATCAGTGTCCCAAGCACACCTGCTATGTTAACGTCATCACACTTGACTATTTCCTCGATCTGTGGGGGCAGAGCGTCCATGAGATCTGAAAAAGATCAAGAGATAGTCCTGCTGTGGGTTTTCTGTTCAGATCATCCCTAGCAGCCTCCTTTTGGAAGATGGCATATTGAAATATGGGGCACATAGAAACTCTGTATTCTGACTTCCAATTCGAGTGCTTCCCCTGCCTTAGTTAGGAATATTTGTCTGTCAGAAAGGTCCCCCTTCCCTGTTGTCCACAGTTCCTGTTAGTCCTCATGGAGCTAAATGTGATGAGATCGTTTGCTTCAGAGATACTTAGGAAACCCCATATATGTATGTTATTTTTCTTGTAATTTGCCTTGTTTACTTCTTTTTTTTATTTAAAAAATATCACAAGCACACAGAGACACATACATACACACACACACACACACAGACACAGACAGCCCCCCCACCACACGGTGCCTTCTGGACTGGTCCTGTTAAGCCCTGAGCCATCAGACCTGCTTTATTTTGTTTTTTTTTCTCCCTTGTGTATACTCCTCATATCAGCTCTGATCTTTAGATTTTTATGGTCCCCTGATCCCCATTCTCTGTGTTTTTTGAGGCTTACTTTGGATGTGTTACATGGCTTCCAGATGAGGGATAAAGATTATGATCGCTGATATCTTGTGTATAGTCCAAGAACTACAGAAGTAGGTGTGTAGTTAAGGGACAAGCACAGTTACCTTTTCTTTCTAGGCCATTTTGCCCCATTCACCTCCGGTGTTTGATTCACCTCACCACCTCAGTAGTCTTTGCAGAGTATTGTTTCTGGGATGTGCTATGTTGGACAACCTTTCCATTTGCCTGAGGCTTGGGCACTGATAGTCAGGAGCCTATCATATGTTTCTCTCCATCTGGTATAAATAGGAAGGGAGACATGGAATTCTGGGTAGTAGAGAGCAGATTGAGTGTCATTCTGTGACTTGGAAAGTAGTCCAATCGCTAGGTTGCTATTTCCACATGTCTGTCTTGCTAGCTCTAGTAGGAAGTGCATGGGAAAAAAATGTCGGTGAAGTGTTGAATGTGTTCAGCCTTGCTAACTTCAGAGCTGAGACTGATTGAACCAAAGGGCATCTGACTCAGCAGAATTGCAATTGAAGCAGTCCCCTGAAGCATCGCTTACAGCCTTGTTGGTCATTCTTTGTTGAGTTCTGTGTCTAGGACACTGGACTTATGGGGTGATTGTTGGCCATTGTGACAGTTCAGTGGCTAATGGCCTTCATCTCCATCCTGTCATGCTCTGATGCAGGCCTTTGCTAGACCATTGCTGCAGGAAACTTCCAAGATCTACAAGGGTTTCTTGTTGTCCTTCTTTAGTTTTCAAATCTATCCATTTCCTGTTAACAAACTGAATCACTTCTTTGCCATGCTTTTAACTACCCGGTTTCCTATCCTCTCAGCCTTTGAATTCCTCATCTCTTGGACCAGTGTGTATTTCAGAGAGAGAATGGAGTAGAAGTTTCATGAGAGCGTGTGTGGTAAAAGGCTTCCTGGCAGCTTCTTCATTTTCTGTTTCCTTTTTCTGGAAACAGGCTGAGGATTAATTAACTGTGGGAGTCTAAATGAGCTTAGTATCCAGCAAGGAGAAACTCTGTGATGTAACAGAGTCTCTAGGTGGTAAAAACCCACTGGAAGGCAAATAGAGAGACAGCCTTTGGGGTCAGACATGCCCGTCATCCAGTGTAGCATTGGTCTGTTCTGGACTACGTAAACATTGGAATCTTACATGAAGCTCCACCATCTCCCAGAGCTTTTGAATGAGCTGGATTCCGCCCCTTGCTCTTCCAGAATTTCTAGGTTTGAACTACATTCCTTCTCTCTAGGCACCAAGAAGATGTCCCAGGATCCTTGTGTTTGAAAACCACTTGTTCAGAGGGTTGACCGACCCTGCTCTGAGCTCAGAAATGATCAGGCTATGGGAGGTGTGGACAGGAGCCAAGATGACAGCTGAAGTGAGTCTTACTTACAGTCTTGGAGTTTGCCACCGGAGAGGAAGTATCTGGCTGCAGGTGCACACTTGCCGCCTTTGGAGAGAGCTGGTTGATTTTTGGGAGCTGAGCCTTGCTTGTTGGGGGGATCTCTGAGGCGTGGTGGTGTTGGCAGGCTAAGAGGGAGGGTGTTCACATTGGGTACAACGGCAGGGAGAGTGCTCACCCCTGGGGGTGTTTCCACCAGGTCAAGTGTACCTGCGTGGATGCTCAACATTATGGCCAAGGCCCAGAGAACCCACATCGTTGTGACTGAAACCTGCAGAAGAGAAATGGGTCACATATGTCAGTCACAATGGGCCGTCCCCTGTCTTTACATTTAGAGTGCTGCTGAGGTGTGTGTCCCTCACATCTGCTCTTAAGATATGTGTGGCACTGTGACATTTCTTCCCTTTTGGTCTCCTTCACCTGTGAGGGTTTATAGTACCGGGGGGTCTGGGTCTTTGCTGTGCCATTTGGGAAAGTTGTCAGAATTATAAATAGGTCACTTCTGTCAAATCCTGATCCTGAAGGTAAATAAGTTCTATTTTCTTAATGAAAGACAGAACCCTGCATATGTGTTCCTGTTTACAACAAACATTCATCAGACCTCAGCTGTAGTCCCTGCTTTACAGAAACGCTGCTGCTGCCTGGCACATTAGAGGCTCCTGCGGTCCACCTGCCCAGCAAGTGCCTCCTCCACCCACGACTGGTACCACTCTGGTAATTACTTGATGTTGATTTAAAATATCATCTATAATCTCTCTCCTTTCATCCTTCCAAACTTGCCATGCCCCGCTCTCTTTTCAAACTCTAATCGTCTCAGTACCTATGTCTTTCCAGAGCTGAGGGGGCCTTAGTCTGAGAAGCTGATGAACCTTAGACAGTGGCTGTGATGGTTTAGGTTGGCAGTGTGCACACACTAGCGAAAGTTAGCCCTCAATTGCCATAGAGTAATTCAAGCCAGTGACAATTTTTTGCGTTGAATAAATTGCCTTTTTGAAAACTAAATCTCACCACATTTCCACCAGAATTCTCCCCTTCCTCCCTGACCTCTGGGAAATCTAAACAGTATTACATCCATCTAAACACAGGACAAGTGGGGCACTGTGCCTCTTAACAAACTCATGGCTATGCTGACTTGATGGTCCTCTCTCAGAATTCAGCAGTCAGTTTTCTGTTTTCTTAAGAAAACAGTCTTCCACCTGGGCACGCCTTCAATCCCAGTACTCAGGAGGCAGAGCAGGCAGATTTCCGTGAGATCGAGGCCCGCCTGATCTACAAGAGCTAGTTCCAGGACTGCCAGGGCTGTTACACAGAGAAATCCTGTCTTGAAAAACCAAAAGAAAAAAGAAAAGAAAGAAAACAGTCTCCCAAACAGCCTTATTATCTGCCGTTCCACTTTAGGCCCAGTATCCTGCAGTTCAACAGCAGAGGAACATTCTAGATCGTCAGTGAGTAAACCCTAGTCATCTGTCCAGAGGTGACCTGTCCCATGGTCGTTTCCACATAGCCTGCCATTCTTAGTGCATCTCTCTGGGCGGTCCTTACCTTGTCCCTCTGAAGGGTCAACGTCTTCAGTAGCTGCTTCTCCTCCTGCTCCTGCCTCTGACTGTCCACCCCAAGGCTGAACCCCACTTTTATAGGCATCCACTGTCTCCTAGAAAGGTCATCATAGAGGAAGGGGCATGATCTCGATGTGTTGATAAGACAGGCGTGATGCAGTCTGCTTTCCAAAATCAGCGGTGGCTCTTCTTGCTTTTGTTGGCATGTCCCTAGGCCTGTCAGAGCTGGTTTTGAGATGGCAGAGGCAGGCACATCACAGAGAGAGTGCAAAGGCCCTAGGGGCCTGGTGCTTCTTTGTGTTCTGTATTCAGCTCTATGAGGAAGAGAAGACTACAAATTCTGTTGATCTGGACCTCCTTGAGTTTATCACGCTAGGTGGCTGATCTTTCTCTTTCTTCCTTTTTGTCACAGTCTTGCTATCTTGTAGTCGTATGTGTTGGGTGAATGTCAGGGTAGAAAGGGCATTGAAGCTGACAGTTTTCAGTCCTCTGAAATTCATTTCATGGCTCCTAACAGTGCCCTGGGCATAGGTGAGACTCAGCGCAGGGTGACTGTCAGGAATCCATACTACAGGACCCTCTCAGACATGATTGACACGTAACATCTAGCAATGTAACCATGTAACAATGAGCATGATATGCAGGTAGATGCACCTGGGGACCAACTTAACTTGATTGAGTATTGCTGTGTTCTAGAGTTTGTTAAAAAGGAAAACTAAATAATTGAGTGTTACCCCTTTTCTTTCTTCTCCCCATGGAGTATAGCAGGGCTGTTAGAGATGAAGGTATTTTAAAAAGACAATGGTATCCCTATTGGCAAGGAGACTGAAACATAGCACTCTTGGGGATGGGAAATGACCCCTGGAACCTCACTTTGGGAACAGAAAGGCTGGAGCTCAGTTCCTGCCTGAGGAGGGGTGTGTCCTGGAAGAGATTTCACAGCTGGGGACTCGTCAGACCACCAGGAGCAGAGCCTGCAGGGGGACAGTGATGGGAGCAAGCGCATCCTGACTGGAACTGCTTAGCTGACATAACGCTGGGCCCTACTTAGCCTGAACCTCATGCCAGGACCCTACAAAGGGTCTCGATGGGGAGACAGTGTGTCACTGGAAGCAGTGTGTCCTGCTTCCCATGGAGACATGCCAATTAAGTCTCCTTTTTGTGCTTTTCACATTCATTTGGCTTTTAGTTGTCTCCTTGAGAGGGGTGTGCAAACCTGGCTTGCTGGATGGGACACTGGGTGTGACCCTAAATTCAGTAGCAGAATGAGGTGCGAATGCTGCTAGTGGTCTGTGGTGGTTCTGACTGCACCGAGTTTCTGCTCGGAGCCTGACTCCTTTCTGCCTCTTTTCTCATCTTGGGTTTCTCAAGCTTCCATGCCTGTTTTCTGTGTGAGGCTTCCCTTCCACTTTCAGAGAAAGCTGTGGGGCTCCCATCCCTGAAGTGTTTTCCCTTTCCCCTGTACATGCCATCACATGGTCTGTCACAATCTGAGACCCAAGGCAGGGTGGGGTTATTTGATGAGAGGTCACTCATGCCTGCTCCGGCTGCCCACATGCTGGAATAGAGCAGTCTTCCTACTCGCCCTCATGGTCTTTCAAGCAGCCTCAGCATTCATTGCAGGGCTCTCGCCAGCCACACTGGTCCTTGCTCTGAATCTCAGCAGCTGCTCCCCCTCTAGGCCCCAGTGTGGTCTTGGTGAAATGTCAGATGCAAGGAAGAGTTGAAAGCTGACCTTTTCTCACAGGGCAGAACTCAGAGCGTTACCCATGATGCTCAGTAGAAGACAGAACCTAAGTGTTCTGGGTCTTATTTTTTCTGGACATTTGAGGGAAATTGAGCCATGTTTTTGACTACAGTTGTGCCACCTCTCATTGATTAAACCTCTTGATTTAATGTCCCCTTTAGAGTCAAACAACTTATGAAAGAGGCAGGGAGTGAACACATCAGGAGGCAGTCTGTGGTGGCCTCTGATCCTCCTGGTTCTTAGGAGGTGGGGCAGCTATTGAATTCTGCTAATCCAGGATTCATGGAATGTGTCATACAGAGCAGGTTTCCCAACTGGGGACAAAGGGTTGACAAAGGGCAGCTTGTCTCAGACACTAAATGATTTGACCTTCTGATGTGCCTTTGAAGGGAGAGGGCAGGCTTGAGATCACAATTGCCTGTGATAAGCAAAGTTGGTGCCAACTGTTAATGGCCTCTGTGTGAAGAAATCACAATGGGCCATCTTGAGCCAAAGGTGTTGAAAGAGCCATCAAGATCTCCCCCTTTGATAGCTGTGTTCTTCAGCTCACACACAATGCGCACAGTGGTGCACAGACTTCCACTTCTCTTTTCTCCTGAGCTTGTCTGTGTCTGGTCTTCTCTAAGTAGGGGCTGAGTTGGGCCTTTTGTGCCATTGCTTCTGTGGTATGATCAGTTCTGACCTTTGGGAGTCACAGGCCACAGGTCCCTCTCCTGGGTTCTTTGTGTCTCTGAACCTTCTGAATTTGTAGGTAAAGTGTGATCTGTTCTGCACAGGTGACATTCTCTTGATGAGTCTCATTCCGATTTTTCTAGTACTAGACATTGAACCAATGTCTTCCGTGTGCTATGTATGTCCTCAATCACCAAGTGCTTTTCCTTTCGTCTGCTCTTTTAACTTTGTATTGTTATTCTAAAGAAAAAATGGGATGAATTTATTTCATGTTTTTGTGAGGTTTTAGCTTCTTCTATGCATATATATTGTGTGTACTTGTTGGCCATGGAAGTCCTAAGTGTGAATCCACTTTATCTGACATTATAGATGGTTGTTAGACACTGTGTGGGTACTGGCAATTGAGCTTCAGTTTTCTGCAAGAGCAACAAGTGTTTTTAACCATGGAGCCAACTCCTAGCCCCTTAATTCTCTAATTTTTTTGAAGCTGGGTATCATTTACCTCAGGCTGGCCTCAAATGGTTATCGTAGCTGATGGTGACCTGGACGTCCTGCTCTTCCGGTCCCGACTTTCCCAGAGCAGCGATTACACATGCGTCTACCACACACTCCTCAACTCTGCTTCAGCTTTGAGACACAGCCAGAGTAAGTTATACAAGGTGGACTTGACCCTTCTGCCTCAGTTTCTATGGCAGCTGAGATTATTAGGTCTTTATGAGTTTCTTCATGTATTTTGTTATTTACAAAATGTGACAATCCCCATAACCAGAACCTGGAAACAACCTAAATGCCCCTCTGAAGAATGGAAGGAAAATGTGGCGCATTTACACAATGGAGTACTACACAGCAGAAAAAATGATGACATCTTGAATTTTGCAGGAAAATGGATGAAGCTAGAAAACATTATTTTGAGTGAGGTAACCCAAACAGAGAAAGACAATTATCACATGTACTTATAGGTGGTTTTTAAACATAAAGCAAAGAAAAACAGCCTACAAACCACAATCCCAGAGAACTTAGACAACAATGCGGACACTAAGAGAGACTTACATAGATCCAGTCTACATGGGAAGTAAAAAGTAGAAAAAGACAAGATCTTCTGAGTAAATTGGAAGCATGGGGACCTTGGGGAAGGGTTGAATAGGGAAGGGGAAAGGCAGGGAGGGGAGCAGAGACAACTGCAGAGCTCAATAAATATCAATAAAAAAATTAAAAAAAAAGAAAAAGGTGCAACAGTCCCATAGTTTAGGAGGCAAGGTTTCTAACTCAACTTTTGGGGTCAAATGGGTCCAAGAGTGAATTGTGATTGAGCTGCTTTCAGGCTGTGTGTCCTTGGTTTATTAAGCTGGCCTGTGCCTTAGTTCCTCTTAGTGTGAGCTCCTCTCTCATATGATATTCATGGATTAAATTAGATGGAATACATCAAGCAGTTGCTATCTTGATTGATATATGTGAGTAGCTATACTTTTCTTTCTTTTCCCCCTAAGAACTCAAAAAAAAAATATTTTATGTGTGTGTGCGTGTTTGACTGCATGCACATCTGTGTCCTGCTCATGTACCTGGTATCTGTGAAGGCCTTAAGAAGGCATTGGATGTCCCAGAACTGAAGTTACAGACAGTTGTGAGCCATGATGGGAATGCTGGGAATCAAACCTGGGTCCTCTGGAAGAGCAGTGAGTGCTCTTGGCTGCTGAGCCTGCTCTCCAGCCCCTGTGCGTTTTTCTTCCGTATCTCCCTCCTCTTTCTTTTCCTTTTCCTCTTCTTCTTTCCTCTCATTCTTTATCCTTGGATCTGCTACACTCAGGTTTCCCCTGAAGCTTTTGTTCAATTTTATATTATCAAATTAGCAGTTCTGTATATGTCATTATTTGACAACTGTTTTTTTTTTAAACCTGTCTGCAAAGATGACCTATGGATTCTTTCCCCCTCAGAGCTGAGGTTCAAATCGAGGGCCCTGTGCTTCCTAGGCAATTGCTCTGCCATTGTGCTAAACCCTCAACCCTAAAACATGTATTTTAAGGTTATGTTTTTTTGAAGGACTCAAAATGGATCCTTTGTCGTGTTTTAACAAAAAGAAGACAGTTATTTTCAGTAGGAAGAAAGAGTCTTCTTGACATCCTCTAGTTCAGTATGTGGCCTACTACTGGGCCAGTTGTAAAGGCGGTGGGAGTGGTGCCCTGTGAGTATTGTGCCTACTGTCAGGTTAGCGTCCAAGACGTCTTCTGGGTCCTAGACCTGCCATAGAGACAGCATGGGTTTTCCCATATTACTTGGCCTGATAGGGTTGAAGTGTGCACTTGACCTTCTGAGTATCAATGCTATTCTGAGGTCAGTGCCCAGGTGGCCCCCTGGCTACCATGCAGCATTGGGGAGCAGTGTGCCAAAGGAAGACAACCACATTTGACTTCAGGGAAGACTTGGGTATTCGTCTTGAATTGTAGGGAAGTATGTGGACAGCCCTGGATGCAGAACTTTTTCGGGATGAAAGTGTGAAGGTAACAACATGGATACTGGAACTACCCAGAGGATAGCTCCTTGGCAGCTTCCTATGTATAGGAGATACCCTGGGAGCTTCATTTGGAAGCTTCCCTGGGTGTTGATCCTTGACTGTGGTCACCCTGGGCCTGGTCACATGGCTGCTGGATCTTCCCAGAGGTCAGTGTGCAGTTACCCACCTGTCCTAGGAGCAGTGTACAGGGTGCTCCTGAGTACTTCCCAGGCAGTCCAACCAGAAGTCCATATGTGCAGAAGTGAGCTCAGACTGGACTATAGAGTCACTTCTGACAGTTAGATAAAAGCCAGCATCACTTAGGAATTTGTGAAATCAGTTCCTATCTGCCTAAAGGAGTCTTTTTCCTTTCATCTGGCAGAAGGAACATATGGCTCCATTGTCATATACCTGTGGTTGCATATCAAAGCCCATGCCAGCTTGCCGACTTT